GGAATTAATCAAATAGAAGCTAATATCAAATGATCTTGTTTCATGTGTTATGCAGCATGTTTGGACTCTTGTTTCTGCACTTATTCTTATACGGTTGCAACATATTTATGTGGCGAAAAGCGAGGATAAACTATAGTTTCATCTTCGAACTTGGTTCGGAAAATGAGCTCAAGTATAGAGATGTTTTCTTGATATGTACTGCTTCAATGTCGGCGATAGCCGGTGTTCTGTTTGTTCATCTCTCACTTTTCGCAAAAGGTTACTCCTTTCGACAAGTCCAAGTGATCCCTGGCCTTCTATTACTGGTAATTTAACAAACACTCATGATCAGGTGTTTTTTCTTTGTAAATTTGTAATCTAAATCTATTTGCTTTATTCGCGGTTTTTTCGCAGGTCTTCTTGTTAATACTAATTTGTCCCTTGAACATTTTCTACAAACCGAGTCGCTACAGGCTTATATCAGTCATCAGAAACATAATTCTTTCGCCTCTTTACAAAGTCGTGATGCTCGATTTCTTCATGGCTGATCAACTTTGCAGCCAGGTAATACCTTGAATCACAGTTCCATAGACCGAAGCTGAGTGAAAAATGTGATCTTTTCCATAAACCCTGAATCAAAATCTGATCTTTGACGATGGTCTCACAGGTACCAATGTTAAGGAACCTAGAATACATTGCCTGCTACTATATAACCGGCAGCTACGCAACACAAGACTATGGATATTGCATGAGAGTCAAGTACTACAGAGATCTCGCCTATGCAGTTTCCTTCCTCCCATACTACTGGAGAGCGATGCAGGTAAATTAACCTATAAACTCCTTTCTTCGTCCCCAAGTTTCTTTTTCTTCTCTCAAGTTAGGGTTTCCACTTTCGCAAAGTTCTGATTAAGGATTGTGGAACAGTGTGCAAGGAGGTGGTTTGACGAAGGAGAAATAAGCCACTTAGTGAACCTAGGGAAGTACGTGTCAGCGATGTTAGCCGCTGGAACAAAAGTGGCTTACGAGAAAGAGAGGAGCATTGGTTGGCTATGCCTTGTAGTGGCTATGTCAAGTATAGCCACAGTTTACCAATTGTATTGGGACTTTGTAAGAGATTGGGGTTTACTTCAACAAAATTCCAACAACCCTTGGCTTAGGAACCAACTCATGCTTCGCCAAAAATCCATTTACTACTTCTCTATGGTACAAATCCATCTCTTTTTATCACCCAAATACACACATACGTACATAATCTTATATCAACCATTTTCTTATTGTAGGTTCTAAATCTTGTTCTGAGATTGGCATGGCTACAAACAGTGTTACACTCAAGTTTTGAGCATGTGGATTACAGAGTGACAGGTTTGTTCTTGGCTGCACTTGAAGTGATCAGGAGAGGACAATGGAACTTTTACCGGTAAAACTAATCTTCTCTTTTTTTGTGGAATCAGATTCATG